ATTTGTTAAATATAAGAATCAATCAGTAGACATAGAAAATTCACATGTACTATAAAATAACAATACAGTATTAATACTGTATTGTTATTTTATAGTACATGTGAATTTAGCAAACCAATAAATATGTTATTTGGTTTCTTAATCATAATGATATTGTATTTTGTTATATTAACTATTTACTATTGTTTATTATAGTTTGGAATGTTTACACACATGTGGGACCCATTCAAAGAGATCGTAAATATGAGAAATTATAGTAAAATATATTACCGACTCTGGTTCGGAACAGAAGAACTCAAAAAGTTTCTTCGAATTATCTTGCCATATGTTCCCGTTCAAAGTATGCTAAGAAAACCGATGTTGCTTTAGAAAACTTAAAACCCGATGCAAGCAATCAGTCGAAGACTGAAAGATGCATCATCAATCAATGGATGGATCTGCAATTGTTAATGGCGTACCTTTTGCATAATGGGTCAGCGAGTAAATTGATACAGCAAGCTTAAACCCTTAAGTGTAGGTGTAATAAAATTGTAGATAGTTGTATAAATTTGACCCGAAACTAGGTGATCTAGCCATGAGCAGGTTGAAGAGAGTCCTAACAGGCCTTGGAGGACCGAACCCACGTATGTGGCAAAATATGGGGGATAACTTGTGGTTAGGGGTGAATAAATAAAGAGTAAGAATCAATCGTTCGAGTATTGATTCTTCAGCGTATTTTAAACTTCGGAAACCTCCAAAAGAAGCCAAAACAAAACCTATCCAAATACAAAAAATGAAAGGTAACTTCATTATGGTAGTATACGAACCAGTTTCAAAACTTTCAGTTCCTATCAAAACATAGAGATCTATGAAAAAGTTGGTATGTATACTCACTTTAGTAGTATTGGTTTCTAGATTCGAAAAATATTTTTTTTTTTTGGAAACATACAAAGCTATCAACACTACGCGTCAAAGGTTATGAGCCTTGCGAGCTACCAAGCTTCTCTACTTCGCTTTAATTAAAATATAAAAAATAAAAACTAAAGAAATAATAAATAAACTTTGAAAAAACTAAAATAACATATAATTCATAACAGTAAAGAGCGAAAAATAGAAAGATCTTCTTAAGCTCTTCAGATAAGAATTCAGTCACCAACCTTTTGATTTCGATAGCATCTGTTTTGGATCCTGCTTTTATGATAATAACAAAATCATAAGCATATCTTACATAGAAGAGTCTTTTGAAACCCGAATTCATTGGATCTGATAAAGTCTTGCATAGGGTTTGTCGGTTGCCGTTTTTTGTCATTTGAAGAGCGAAAGCTCTTACAATTGCCTCGCCGCTGAGTCTTCGACGCAAAAAAAACAGTTCAATCTCGATAACTTCGTTCAGATTTGGACATTTGATCCAATCCTCTTAGCTAGTAGGTGCCCATTCGTTTCGACGAACGGGGAATATGAGATGTAAAAAATTTAAAAAAATAAAAAAAAATAAAAACTAAGCTATAAGTGAAACGCCAGATGGCGCAACCTGAATTGACTGAGGCGTTTAAGTCCCCAATAGCCCTGACGGTGCCCGTTTTGAACGGGCGATCGTTTTTGCAAGGTAAGTTGCTGTTTCCTTTTTTGTTTTTTTTATTGTTTGTTTCTCTTAGATTTTTTTTTTAAATATTTTTTTATATTTTTTTTTGTTATTTTCTAGGTTACCAATGGTCTGGAGACCGGACGTCTCCACCGGACTTCTCCCCCCCCCGTCGTCCGGA